TGAAGCATACAATTTTACAGTTTTAAGTGCATACCATTCCTGAGAGTAGTTAAAACTTTTCTTCTACTTGTAAAATAAAATGCCTGCACCACTTAAAACTTGCAAAGAAACAGTTTCAGAGACAGCCACAAGACTGTACAAACTCAGACTGATTCCACCTACATTTATTGGAAAACATAGGCTTAGGTAACAAAATAACAGGCCTTCCTTTAAAAGGTGGCTTCATGAAAAGGGAGAAGGTTTCCTCTGTGGCTGGAAAGAAACTGTAGGCATGAACAAGTCACAGGACAGTCTCACCCATATGGAGTACATCCAGAGCTATGGGAAACAGTTCTACATAGCAGAGTTCATAAGCCCCTCTCTTTCCTATGCTACCCTCCATGTGTGTGAGAGAGAAGGACCTCAGTTAAACAAAAATAAAAGAAAAATGAACAAGTGATTGTGTTTATGCAGGTACTCCGTTAGAAATAGCTTAAACCAAACATCTTCTGGCTGAATATTTTAGCAATGACTACAACCATTTATTTGATTCTCTGGAGACATGTATCTGTAGACAGCAAAGGAAAGCAGGATGGGTCACCAGAGGATCAAACATTTCAGAATTTCATTAATATTTGCTTATTCTAATATGAAACTCCAAGTTAAAGATTCTCGTCATGCTACTATAAAGCTTTTATTTAGACTTATGCAACTGTGCTACTGAAAGTTAAGAAATCTGCCTCTGAAACCTTTTAATGTTGAGTACTGTCATAAAACATACACTTGATATTTACTATTATTTTCAGTGAAGTTACAAGCTCTCTTATTACATTAGGTCGATAAAGAGAAATTGAGCATATGATGCGCACCAATGAAGTGAACTTCCACAGATGAAGTAATAAGAAATACTTACCCAGTAATTACCTTGTATTTGAAGTCCCTCAGGATCAACTTCAAGCAGTTAGACAAATGGAAAAAAAAAGGAAAGCCCTTATGATTATGTTATTATATTCTCGCATGAGGAAGGGGCTGGCTGGGCCATTCAGAGACTCTCTGAATTAAAACCTCTTAGTTCTTGCAAAACAAATGAACAAACAAATAACAAACAAACAACTTAGAAGAAAAAAAACCAACATCCCCCTAAACTTAGAAGAGCTTACAGAGAATGAGGATCCCAACTCTTTCAGTTAAGCAAATGAGTGATTAGATTGCCCAAGAAAGACCTGGAAAAATCTGAAGACTAGGTAAGGAATCACTGATCTTAGTGACTCTAAGATCCTGTGCTGTTTTTTAAAAACCCAACTCTGTAACCCTAAGGTGAGAAAGAAAGATGTTTGGAAATTTTAACATAGTAGAAAGAAAATTACACCTACCTGGAAGATCAGTGGAGGCTGTCCCCCTTTTTGAAGAAGTCAAGCCTGTCCGAGACCTGGTTACTGGAGGTTACTGCTGCAGCCATGCAGGAAAAGGAGCTGCATTGAGGGGAGTTGAGGGGTGGCAGATATTAATGGTAACGGGCAGTGGGAAGGTTAAGATTTAAGATAAATCTGGGTGGAAAAACAACTCTTGGCCTACCATCCCAAACAGGAAACTCCCCCAGATTGAACCTCTACACCACAGTGCACAAATTGATAACGGTTTCTGTCTCTTTGTCCATCCCGTTTTACCCTGTTTTTTTTAGGATGGAGCATGGGACTCTGAAAGGCTTCCCAGAGCTATTAGCAAAAGCACTCCAGCTGCCAGACACCAAACTGTCATGGGTGCAAAACTCGTGACAGTCCTGTCTTTGGGTCATGGTGTGAAGCCCTTGGAGGGGAGTATCCCAGCTCACTCAGGCAGTGGGAGAAGCCTTCACTGTGACCTTTCCTTCTCCTGCTTTCCGGGCAATAGCACCAGTGCTATACATAGCATTGATTTGATTGTATGAGAAAAATAAAACCAACTGCTTTCTCAAAGGAATAGTTTTCTTGAAATCTTAAGATTATTGGAAACCATTTTCTGAGAGAAAAACAAAAATTTGGCTAAAACTGATCAGTCAGAACATCAGGCTGCACTATCTAGAAACTGAAAACTGGTATTAAAGAGCCAGACAGGCAAAGAGCCAGACAGATTGCACTACAGTAGATGTAGATTCATTGGGCTTTGGGTCCTTTTATCTTCACTTCTGGAGGCTTTCACGATGACTTGACTTTCAGTTGCATTCTAGATTGGCACAGAGCAGTTCAGAGAACTAGCATCCTTAAATTTAAAACAAAATATATCGGCAATGTAAATGTAATTTAGGCCAAGATCCTTATCAATACTTTTCTGGCTAAAAAACAAAGGCTCTTTTTCATCCTGACTCAACTGTGTGACTACTCTCTCCTGTGCTAGAGCCCCTTTTGTTACCCTTTTATCTTTAGTATATTCACCATGTCTACTGAAGATTACTGACCTGTACTTTTCAGGTAAGATCTGAAGCTGGAGCAAACTTTAAAGCTATGACATGAACTTCAGTGTAACTCAAGCATGTTGTGTCAGTGGTGACATTCGGCTCTGGCATTACTGAAGAATCAGAGCTCACAGCCCTGCAAAACATCATTTGATATGTGCACTGAGTAAACATCACACCATTTCTCAGCTGGCTGATCTGCTAACATGGAAAATATATCAGCAAAATCGGTGGAAGCGAAGTGCAGACTGCTGGAACCAGGTAGCTTCAATTGGATGACTTCAATTAGCTGAAGCAAAATTAAAGGTATCCAACCAAAGGGATATACTCACTGAATGCACACTCCACCCACCCACCCCCTCTAAACCTTCCACTGAAGATAGACAAGTCTGGTTTTTGTTACTTCTGGGTTTCCAGTGCCTTTCCTTTCATACTGTAATACCTAGCTCAATAGGTGAAAGCACAAGTGAGTCTTTGTCCCTGCTGAACATATAATACGTCACCCTGTACTAACTTTGTTTAATTTCCACTTTGTTTCCCCTTTCTTTGCTTCATTTGTGTCATCTTGATTTATATCTTAAGACCCTGTTCACTTGTAGAAGACTACTCTATGTTTTTGATAGATTTTCTGATGTGGAAGAATCTTTCAACAGCAATTGCACCTCTCTTTGGGGAGATTTTTCTGATATGTCATTGAATGCTGGTACAGAGAGAGATGCTGTCTTTCTGAGAATTCAGAGTGACAGCAAACACATATATGAGCTAAATTATTAATGTCTGATCAGACTGTTCCTGGTAGAGTTAGGCACTGCAAAAGAAGCTTAACTTGTAACATACACATTGACCATGAATTGATAGGAAAAAAAGGCAACATGGTCTTTTGAAGAATTGCAAAGGCTTCATGGTCAGGCACGTGCCAGAAAATCCATACTGATGGTTAAATAATTACCATTGATATTCTCATGAGAAATACTCCAGCTAAGTAAAATTCTGACTCAAGGTTACAAATATTAATAAATAATAGTAACAATGCTAATTTAGCTACACGAGTATTACAAAACATCACAGTTTTCAGAGTAATGAGACTGTCATCAAGCACCATCCATAAAATAGTACTAGAAACAGATTTAAAGTGCATTTTTGTTAACAAAGGTCACCATGTACCTGCCTAACTGCTAGTGGAGAAACTCTATTACAACCTGTATGTCCATTTCAAGCTCAATACTTCAACTGATGACATCAAAGTGAGCTCCACAGTAGGAACAAAGCCAGAGTGTGCATTAGAGATTGTCACCTTTGATTTAAGATTCTTTTGAGAAGTCACAAAGAAACATTTTGCTAACTGAATCTTTTACCATTTGAATAGACTGAAATTTAATACAGGCTATTTCAAACTCGAGCTACCCTCATGAAATATAAAACATGAATCGGCTTAGGACTTCAGAATAACCCAAACTTACTGCAGAAAAACCAACGCATTCAGCTGTAATAATCACCTTCAGTGCTTTTTGCTGAGCACTTACATTAAAACCGCTTCTTGTACAAATGAAATTCGTTTTTCAAACTGTCCGAGGTTTGTTTAAAATTACCTTCAAGTGCAGGTTACAATTCTTCTGCAGCTTTTTAGCACATTGGCTCCCTCTCCTGTTCATTGGGTGTAAGCAAGAAACCGATCAAATGCTGCCAGTTGAAGACGTTTCTCCACACTTCCATCATTGCTTTTTGGAAGCATGTTTCTGAGGCTCACAAGAAAAGACATTTTCTTGCGTACCCAGTTGAAACCGAACCGTTTTCAGTGAATTAAGAAAAAAATAAATAAAAAAAATTGAAACAACACAAAAGGATTTTTCAAGTCTTTAACTGGAAACTTTTTTAAAGCCCACTACAGAGTTAAGAGATGTGTAAATTAAAGACATCTGAATAGTAAAGTACAAGAAGCTGTTTGCAGTTCAGACAGTATAAAAGAAGTATAAATTTTAATAGTAACATAAAATGAAGAAGAGAAAGACCAGATGGATAGCCAACCAGTGACAATTTGTACATGATAATTACGATAATTCTTTATGGCAAAGATTTGTGGAATTGAAAATGTGGTACCTTTCCTATAAAAATACCACTGGAAGGACTCCAGATCTAATATCTAGTATTTGGCCCGGGAAGTGATTGTTCCTCTTTACCCAGCACTGGTGAGGCCTCACCTCAGGTACTGTGTCCAGTTTTGGGCCCCTCATTACAAGAAAGACATTGAGGTGCTGAAGCAAGTCCAGAGAAGGGCAACGAAGCTGGTGAAGGATCTAGAGAGTAAGTTCTATGAGGAAAAGCTGAGGGAACTGGGGTTGTTTAGCCTGGAGAAGAGGAAGCTCAGGGATGATCTTGTAATTCTCTACAACTACTCGAAAGGAGGTTGTAGCCAAGTGGAGGTCAGTCTCTTCTCTCTAGTGACAGGAGGATAGGACACAGCCTCAAGCTGTGCCAGGGGGTTTAGGTTGGANGATGCAATTATTATTGAAGTAACTTATATGTTGCAGACTTAATTTTTTGTTATCTGTACATAAACTGTGAAGCAGCGAGAGTATAGAACAACACAGAAACTGATGAGCAAACAGCAGAGCAAAACCAAAAACAAGACTTCATTCAAAGAGAATAGAGACACCATAACTTTATCAGAAGGAACTGGGCTGGGGATGGGGTGAGGTTCATCATCCATTCATTGTAGACAAGCTCTTCTCAATGGACTATTTAATGCTGGACAAATGAAGGATGAAGAGTTGATCCTTCCAGGACATAAATCTTGGATTCCATATATAGGATGTCTTTTAAACCAAAGTTGTTGCTTCAGTCATTAAATTAGCTTTTCTTCTGTTGCAAGAGATTCAAGGTAACATCAGTAAACATTCACTTTTTAATTACTGGGCTGCCTCTGCTATGTCTTCCATAACATGGAATTCAAACAAGGAACACAAATATTGGCCTCTGAGCTTTTCTGAGCCAAACTTTGAAGCTACAGAGGAATAATCCAGAAAGAAATCCATAGAAGCAATCAAAGATGAAAAACAAAAGCCCAAACCTACATATATATATATATATATATACATATATATATATATATATATGCACCAGCCTTGCAAGCCCCTATTGAGATGCTTTAATACAGTGGTATACACATGAAATTCCCCCAGATGAGGTTTTAATTTTGGTCATGGTGGCAGGGAAATAAAAACAAGGCAAATATGGAGAGTAAACCCTTTCTAACGAAGTTTGGGTGTAAGAGCCAAACTTCAGGCAGACGTGTGAGACACATTGGCCACATTAATTTCTAGTTGACACCTACAATTTTTTAAGACCTTGGTCTTCCTGAAAGTGACAGGAAAGAAACAGTGAAGTTCACACTTCTGGCATGCTTTGTACACCTTGTGTAGACTTCCCGGTACTTGCATTTTCTGCAATTAGACATACTGGCAGATTCACGGTCTCATGTATGCATTAAAGCATAAGAGAAAAGCTGTAGCATTTCTGAACTCACCAAAGTCTATAAAATACTTACAAATTGCTTGTAGGGCTATGTAATTCCTACAAGGCTTGGCAAGACAGAAAAAAATCCACCTACTTGCAAATTTTAAACAAATGCATATTTGCCCACAGTTAAAAAGTTTGAAGCATACAATTTTACAGTTTTAAGTGCATACCATTCCTGAGAGTAGTTAAAACTTTTCTTCTACTTGTAAAATAAAATGCCTGCACCACTTAAAACTTGCAAAGAAACAGTTTCAGAGACAGCCACAAGACTGTACAAACTCAGACTGATTCCACCTACATTTATTGGAAAACATAGGCTTAGGTAACAAAATAACAGGCCTTCCTTTAAAAGGTGGCTTCATGAAAAGGGAGAAGGTTTCCTCTGTGGCTGGAAAGAAACTGTAGGCATGAACAAGTCACAGGACAGTCTCACCCATATGGAGTACATCCAGAGCTATGGGAAACAGTTCTACATAGCAGAGTTCATAAGCCCCTCTCTTTCCTATGCTACCCTCCATGTGTGTGAGAGAGAAGGACCTCAGTTAAACAAAAATAAAAGAAAAATGAACAAGTGATTGTGTTTATGCAGGTACTCCGTTAGAAATAGCTTAAACCAAACATCTTCTGGCTGAATATTTTAGCAATGACTACAACCATTTATTTGATTCTCTGGAGACATGTATCTGTAGACAGCAAAGGAAAGCAGGATGGGTCACCAGAGGATCAAACATTTCAGAATTTCATTAATATTTGCTTATTCTAATATGAAACTCCAAGTTAAAGATTCTCGTCATGCTACTATAAAGCTTTTATTTAGACTTATGCAACTGTGCTACTGAAAGTTAAGAAATCTGCCTCTGAAACCTTTTAATGTTGAGTACTGTCATAAAACATACACTTGATATTTACTATTATTTTCAGTGAAGTTACAAGCTCTCTTATTACATTAGGTCGATAAAGAGAAATTGAGCATATGATGCGCACCAATGAAGTGAACTTCCACAGATGAAGTAATAAGAAATACTTACCCAGTAATTACCTTGTATTTGAAGTCCCTCAGGATCAACTTCAAGCAGTTAGACAAATGGAAAAAAAAAGGAAAGCCCTTATGATTATGTTATTATATTCTCGCATGAGGAAGGGGCTGGCTGGGCCATTCAGAGACTCTCTGAATTAAAACCTCTTAGTTCTTGCAAAACAAATGAACAAACAAATAACAAACAAACAACTTAGAAGAAAAAAAACCAACATCCCCCTAAACTTAGAAGAGCTTACAGAGAATGAGGATCCCAACTCTTTCAGTTAAGCAAATGAGTGATTAGATTGCCCAAGAAAGACCTGGAAAAATCTGAAGACTAGGTAAGGAATCACTGATCTTAGTGACTCTAAGATCCTGTGCTGTTTTTTAAAAACCCAACTCTGTAACCCTAAGGTGAGAAAGAAAGATGTTTGGAAATTTTAACATAGTAGAAAGAAAATTACACCTACCTGGAAGATCAGTGGAGGCTGTCCCCCTTTTTGAAGAAGTCAAGCCTGTCCGAGACCTGGTTACTGGAGGTTACTGCTGCAGCCATGCAGGAAAAGGAGCTGCATTGAGGGGAGTTGAGGGGTGGCAGATATTAATGGTAACGGGCAGTGGGAAGGTTAAGATTTAAGATAAATCTGGGTGGAAAAACAACTCTTGGCCTACCATCCCAAACAGGAAACTCCCCCAGATTGAACCTCTACACCACAGTGCACAAATTGATAACGGTTTCTGTCTCTTTGTCCATCCCGTTTTACCCTGTTTTTTTTAGGATGGAGCATGGGACTCTGAAAGGCTTCCCAGAGCTATTAGCAAAAGCACTCCAGCTGCCAGACACCAAACTGTCATGGGTGCAAAACTCGTGACAGTCCTGTCTTTGGGTCATGGTGTGAAGCCCTTGGAGGGGAGTATCCCAGCTCACTCAGGCAGTGGGAGAAGCCTTCACTGTGACCTTTCCTTCTCCTGCTTTCCGGGCAATAGCACCAGTGCTATACATAGCATTGATTTGATTGTATGAGAAAAATAAAACCAACTGCTTTCTCAAAGGAATAGTTTTCTTGAAATCTTAAGATTATTGGAAACCATTTTCTGAGAGAAAAACAAAAATTTGGCTAAAACTGATCAGTCAGAACATCAGGCTGCACTATCTAGAAACTGAAAACTGGTATTAAAGAGCCAGACAGGCAAAGAGCCAGACAGATTGCACTACAGTAGATGTAGATTCATTGGGCTTTGGGTCCTTTTATCTTCACTTCTGGAGGCTTTCACGATGACTTGACTTTCAGTTGCATTCTAGATTGGCACAGAGCAGTTCAGAGAACTAGCATCCTTAAATTTAAAACAAAATATATCGGCAATGTAAATGTAATTTAGGCCAAGATCCTTATCAATACTTTTCTGGCTAAAAAACAAAGGCTCTTTTTCATCCTGACTCAACTGTGTGACTACTCTCTCCTGTGCTAGAGCCCCTTTTGTTACCCTTTTATCTTTAGTATATTCACCATGTCTACTGAAGATTACTGACCTGTACTTTTCAGGTAAGATCTGAAGCTGGAGCAAACTTTAAAGCTATGACATGAACTTCAGTGTAACTCAAGCATGTTGTGTCAGTGGTGACATTCGGCTCTGGCATTACTGAAGAATCAGAGCTCACAGCCCTGCAAAACATCATTTGATATGTGCACTGAGTAAACATCACACCATTTCTCAGCTGGCTGATCTGCTAACATGGAAAATATATCAGCAAAATCGGTGGAAGCGAAGTGCAGACTGCTGGAACCAGGTAGCTTCAATTGGATGACTTCAATTAGCTGAAGCAAAATTAAAGGTATCCAACCAAAGGGATATACTCACTGAATGCACACTCCACCCACCCACCCCCTCTAAACCTTCCACTGAAGATAGACAAGTCTGGTTTTTGTTACTTCTGGGTTTCCAGTGCCTTTCCTTTCATACTGTAATACCTAGCTCAATAGGTGAAAGCACAAGTGAGTCTTTGTCCCTGCTGAACATATAATACGTCACCCTGTACTAACTTTGTTTAATTTCCACTTTGTTTCCCCTTTCTTTGCTTCATTTGTGTCATCTTGATTTATATCTTAAGACCCTGTTCACTTGTAGAAGACTACTCTATGTTTTTGATAGATTTTCTGATGTGGAAGAATCTTTCAACAGCAATTGCACCTCTCTTTGGGGAGATTTTTCTGATATGTCATTGAATGCTGGTACAGAGAGAGATGCTGTCTTTCTGAGAATTCAGAGTGACAGCAAACACATATATGAGCTAAATTATTAATGTCTGATCAGACTGTTCCTGGTAGAGTTAGGCACTGCAAAAGAAGCTTAACTTGTAACATACACATTGACCATGAATTGATAGGAAAAAAAGGCAACATGGTCTTTTGAAGAATTGCAAAGGCTTCATGGTCAGGCACGTGCCAGAAAATCCATACTGATGGTTAAATAATTACCATTGATATTCTCATGAGAAATACTCCAGCTAAGTAAAATTCTGACTCAAGGTTACAAATATTAATAAATAATAGTAACAATGCTAATTTAGCTACACGAGTATTACAAAACATCACAGTTTTCAGAGTAATGAGACTGTCATCAAGCACCATCCATAAAATAGTACTAGAAACAGATTTAAAGTGCATTTTTGTTAACAAAGGTCACCATGTACCTGCCTAACTGCTAGTGGAGAAACTCTATTACAACCTGTATGTCCATTTCAAGCTCAATACTTCAACTGATGACATCAAAGTGAGCTCCACAGTAGGAACAAAGCCAGAGTGTGCATTAGAGATTGTCACCTTTGATTTAAGATTCTTTTGAGAAGTCACAAAGAAACATTTTGCTAACTGAATCTTTTACCATTTGAATAGACTGAAATTTAATACAGGCTATTTCAAACTCGAGCTACCCTCATGAAATATAAAACATGAATCGGCTTAGGACTTCAGAATAACCCAAACTTACTGCAGAAAAACCAACGCATTCAGCTGTAATAATCACCTTCAGTGCTTTTTGCTGAGCACTTACATTAAAACCGCTTCTTGTACAAATGAAATTCGTTTTTCAAACTGTCCGAGGTTTGTTTAAAATTACCTTCAAGTGCAGGTTACAATTCTTCTGCAGCTTTTTAGCACATTGGCTCCCTCTCCTGTTCATTGGGTGTAAGCAAGAAACCGATCAAATGCTGCCAGTTGAAGACGTTTCTCCACACTTCCATCATTGCTTTTTGGAAGCATGTTTCTGAGGCTCACAAGAAAAGACATTTTCTTGCGTACCCAGTTGAAACCGAACCGTTTTCAGTGAATTAAGAAAAAAATAAATAAAAAAAATTGAAACAACACAAAAGGATTTTTCAAGTCTTTAACTGGAAACTTTTTTAAAGCCCACTACAGAGTTAAGAGATGTGTAAATTAAAGACATCTGAATAGTAAAGTACAAGAAGCTGTTTGCAGTTCAGACAGTATAAAAGAAGTATAAATTTTAATAGTAACATAAAATGAAGAAGAGAAAGACCAGATGGATAGCCAACCAGTGACAATTTGTACATGATAATTACGATAATTCTTTATGGCAAAGATTTGTGGAATTGAAAATGTGGTACCTTTCCTATAAAAATACCACTGGAAGGACTCCAGATCTAATATCTAGTATTTGGCCCGGGAAGTGATTGTTCCTCTTTACCCAGCACTGGTGAGGCCTCACCTCAGGTACTGTGTCCAGTTTTGGGCCCCTCATTACAAGAAAGACATTGAGGTGCTGAAGCAAGTCCAGAGAAGGGCAACGAAGCTGGTGAAGGATCTAGAGAGTAAGTTCTATGAGGAAAAGCTGAGGGAACTGGGGTTGTTTAGCCTGGAGAAGAGGAAGCTCAGGGATGATCTTGTAATTCTCTACAACTACTCGAAAGGAGGTTGTAGCCAAGTGGAGGTCAGTCTCTTCTCTCTAGTGACAGGAGGATAGGACACAGCCTCAAGCTGTGCCAGGGGGTTTAGGTTGGAATCAAGAAGAACTTCCTCATGGATAGGGTTGTTCAGCATTGGAACAGAATGTCCAGGGAGGTGGTGGAGTCGCCATCCCTGAAGGTGTTCAAGAAACAACTGGATGCTGTTTGCCACTTAATGCCATAGTCTAGTTGACAAGGTGGTGCTTGGTCAAAGGTTGGGATCAATGATATTGGAGGTCTTTTCCAACCTAAATGATTCTGTGATTCCGTGATTAATAGCAAATAAACTGACAGAATAACTGGAAATAAAATGACAGGAGTCCTATAGCAAACATGGCAAGATATGGAGAAATCTGATTTCCTTTCCTCTCTGTTTGCCAATTAACAAATCAGCAGTGGAAAGAGAAATATGAGACATGCCTTCAGGGAAAGGCTGGTTACAGTCAGCATAGGCACACTCTTGCAATGAAACCTAGGTAAGAAAGAGCACCAGATTCTTGAGGGTACTGGTGACACGTAGGTGACACTAATGATATTTTTAAAATTCAGTGTATGTGATGCATCTTTCCTACTTGTCTAGAAGCATTATACATCAGGGAATGCTCACATCACCACACTGCATCTCATACCAAAAAAACCCCAAACAATCCTGAGGTATAGTGCAGGTAAAAGCTACCTTCTGTAGTTAGGTCTATTAAAAATTTAGAATTAAAGAAGATCAATAAAAGGCATTGTCCCATAGATTAAGAATCATCAGACATCTTAAAAAGAAATTGTCATCAAACTCTCATGAATGAATGGGACCATCGGCAGTGAATTTCTGCAGATTATTGTAAGAGTGAGAACACTATGCAGTGTTTCCAGTAACAGCTTTTGATTTGAGTGCTTATGACCAAAATCTGGCAGTGTGGTAAGATGGGGACAGCAAGCACAGTCTTAGATAAGAAAGCACACTTTAACATATGAAGGAAGGGGAAGATGCATCTGGAGAGTGGGTGATTCTGAAAGATACAAGGCAGAGGCTCACATTGCATAAGCAAGCAGCATTGAACAGCTTTAATGAGATGTAAAGCAGCAGAGTTAATAACTTCTGGTTTCTACTGCCAGGTTTATTTTTATCCAACACTGTTTAAAATTACATGCATAAATAATCTGGAAAGAATATACCTCCCCTGCTCTAAGGTATGTGTTTTGAACACTTTGCTAGTGTTAGTTCCTCCTTTGCTAATTTTCTTTCTAGCTCTCCTTTTGCATAATGACAGCTCCAACAGAGGCATAGAGCATCTTCTTTCCAGCACATACGTTCAGTTTGGTGGTGAATTCAGCCTTCTGGAAACTTGGGGATGTGAATCTGTATCATGTCACAGAAGCAAACATCATCCATGTCTCTTATCTCCTGTGAGATCTCTAACCAGAAACTAATATTCAAAAGGCGACCATATTTTCTGTATATCAGATCAAAAGAACAATCCTGGAAAAAAACATGCAAGTACTTACATGCAAGCTCTGAATCATGAGCAGATAGTGACAATTATCTGGAGTCCTGACTCAGCCACTGCAGCACGGGAGGGGATAGGATTTCACATCCTTCCCCAGCGTAACATTTCCTACTGCTAGCTCTGGGCTGCTCACCTCCCAGAATAACCTGCTTTTCAGGACATCAATTTGAAATGGTTCAACTCATCCTGTATGCAGTAAAACAGAGACTTCTGTTGGCTTTGGCCCTGGAAGAGTTTTTAGGATGTGTTTTGGATAAAGGCAAATGACAAGGCTTAATACAGAGGTAAATATGTGCAACTCAATGGTCTTTGATATATGTAAGAGACTAGAAAATCTAATTCTTATCTATTAGTTGTTTAATTTTTGTTCTTCCCCACAAAAGAAGCATAATGTATCACACTTCTTTTGGATCACTGATACTGTATTTTATACTGAAAAAAAGGAAAGTATTTCATAATCCTATACAAGACAAGATCTATCAAAATGAACACATCTTTAACTGAAGCAATTATCTACAACTGGATAGGCAGCAACAAATGGAACTTTCCTAAGTTGTTTGTAGAGTGGTTACACTTGAATTAAGACTCTAAATAAACAAAATAGCTTCTGTATCACTAAATTTCAATGGAATGCATAACTAATAGATGTTATAATTTTAAAAGTATCCTACTTATTTTGAAGTCATACTGTGAAAAAGTGTGCTTTTGGATTTTACCTTTTCCTCTCTTTATTGACAATCTCCATTCCTTTGCATAAGTACGTGTGAAAATATTACAAGGTCAGTTTTAAAGGCATGCCCCACCAAAGCCATAAACTAGTAGCCAAGAATCATTTCTATGAGATGTTGCAATGTTTGGCAATGGTGCCTTGATTCCCTAATTTGGAACTGTAAAGGAACTACTGAAATGCCAAGTGTCTAGACTGATACCACTGTCAGAAAGAAAACCACTAAATGTGGTACTTCATAAAACAAAGGCAAACCCCACTCCTCCTACTCTATAATATAAACCAGAAATCAAAGAACTAAAGCTTGATTATACAACTGACCTGGATATCTGCTTCCCACCCTGCAAAGAACCCACCCAGGCCCTTGCACTATGACTTACCTCAAGAAGTGGTAGTCTAACCTCCTTCTGTTTCAGTATTCTCTATAAGATACTAGAAACACCATAGTATTGTGTTTGTCCAGTGGCAAACGGCTGCGAGTTGCCTACAACAAATATTTTATGTATAGGTCTGTCTAGGGCTGTATACATAAAAAGATGACATTCTAAAGGTCTGAAGGGCCTTTCCCCTAAAATGTAAACAAGGATGCATGCTCAGTCTAAAATTAAAAGTTACATTTTTCTCCCTCTTCTGTGGTACATATAAGCAGCACTTTTCTTTGTACCGAGGTCTCTGAGGCACAGATAGAACAGCCAAGCTCAACTATGTCCCCTGCTTACTCTGGGCAAAGGATCACTCTGCTTTTTCCTGAAGTTTTTCTAAAGATAGGTAGCTTACTTTTTGTAAATGGCTGCCTGTGCAGAATTAAATGGCACCTTACCAAAAAATACTCTTCTCTAATTGATCTGGAGAAGAAACAAGTTGTAGAGAAGAGGAACTTAGAGATCATGGTCTTTTTTGCCCTCATAAAGGTGCTGACAGAACAGAGTGTCACAACTCTCTCCATGCAATCCACCATAACCATTTTAGAAGACTGCAGAGTTGGGTATGGTTACATCCTGTATCTACAACTGCTCTATCAGGATTTTGGCACAGAGGAAACTAAGTTCTGCACAGCCATAAAGGTGCTGATAAACATCACTTCTGAAAACTGGAACAGTAATAAACTACTGCAATTTGAAGCTCTCTTTTAACAAGAAGTTGCTGTTGGTTAATATTGTCTGTCTCCCTAATTGTAAGAAATGGTGCTTGCAAGTTAGTTTGGAAAGAAAAAATAATCACAACACATATGGTAGCAACCACTGAGATCATTGTTAGTAATCTTAGTTCTTTTCATGTTTAATTTTGAATAACAGCTCTTTGAAGCTTAGGCACTAAGCACACTATTTGATATAATTCAACTCAGCCCATCCTACAGTACAGCTACAGCTTTCGAGCTACCTTGATTTATCTCCCTTCTTACTTGGGAATCACAGCAAAAGTGCTGTTAAGGAGAACATTGATAAAAAAGCTTTGCTGGTTCTAGTCCAAAATACTTTCTAACTCTGCCATGCTTTTAAGTACTTCTCCCACCAACTCAAGTAGCATTTACTTTTTTTTCACATGGAGCTTTTGTTTATTTGGTTTCCTAATGATGTAAACCTGGGCACCTACAGTTTTTCACTTAATTCCAGACACACACAGTAAAAGAAGTTTAATTTTTTTTTTTTAATTTACAGTATTGATTGCTCCAAGTTATGCCTTACTGTTGGTACACAGTAAATACATTCTTCTGAACAACTTGCTTACTATGAAAAAAAACCCATTTAAAACGTTAAAAATGCTTTACAATGGGCAAAACAGAACCTTCAGAAGTAATGACAGGCTACAGCCAGGCACAGAGGAAGACCATTAGTTTTTAAGTCTACCAGCACATTCATTCCTGTACCCCTTCATCTGAAATAGTAACAAGATTGTAGGTGAACGCTTCTGCTGAATTAAGAAGATTAAATAACTCTCAGCTTGGTCTTTAGCACTTGTATTTCCAGATCAGGATGTTTTTCTGTTCTATTCATTACACTAAGAATGGCTGTTTTCAGAAGATTTACTGAACAAAGGGCTTCAATAACACTTTAAAACTGAAGATGTTTCTGAAGGGGAGTGGTGCATGCAGTGTGCAAGTCTGGATGAATCAGGTAACATACTTCCATCAGATAAAAGACAAGTGGCTGGGCACAACTGCCATTTCACAAATACTTAAATCAGATGAAATGCATTTTTAATGCAAGCTTTAGACAGATTAATATATACTGCAACACCTAGCACTGATTAAATTTAGAAAAATATTATGTTAGGGTTGAGTGTTTTAAAGTCTTTCTTGTTTCGCTGGTGGGTTTTTTTTAAGTTTTTAAAGTAATATAACAGAAGATGCATGGTGGAAGATGCCAAAAACCACCCTGCTTTTTAATCTGAAAGAGTTGGGCTGTCAAAGCTATTATGCTGCTGACAATTACTCATTTGATTATTTATATACATTTTTTAAACAATGAAGAGGCAGGAAATGCTTTTTGTTTTGTGTTTTTTTAATTTTTATGATCATGAAACCAATTACATAGTTTCTGTTAAGTTAATGGCTGCCAA